ACATATGCATACCATTAAAACATCTCAAGCTTTCAATAATATTTTTTTGTTTATTTTATTATAAGGGATGGTTTTTAAGGGTTGCAACTTTGTAATGAGTCGTAAACTTTTTAATGAATAATAAAATAAATGCAATACATTGTGAATGCATCAAGAGAATGTTTTAAACTGTTAAAAACTTTTCTTTAACCCAGTTTTTAAGGGTTGAAAAGTAATTAAATTTTATAAATTAAATATTAAAAAGCATGAAAGGAACTTTATCCAACATATTTGAACATGAATTGAATATTTAAAATACTGCGATTTTCGCATTTTTTTCATACAATGGTACTTTTCACCCCCAAATAGAAAAAAACACACATCTAGACGATATAACTTTTGAAGAAGAGCTTGTATTCAGACAAATTAATGGTATCCGAAAAAATTGGGAGCTCTTACTTTATTTTCGCCTTCAGTGACTGGACTATATTCACGTCTTTGCTTAAATATTGTAGATAGCGATATTCATGTGTTCTACATTTACCAATTTTTATTGGTGTATGTAATACACTCAGCAAAAAAATTAAGGGAGCCAGCTTCCTCAGCTTTAATTTGTTTCTCTTTTTAAATTTTCTGTACAATTATTTCTCAATGAGATATCGACTATTGAGTGAAAAGTGACCCTTGACCGGAGTACCTATTTCAAAATACTGTATCGATAGTTTATTAAAATGTTTCATAAACATGTTTTAGTTGTACATAATCAAACAGTTTATTAACTTTTAATTATTGCATCAATTAATTTTCCATAATTGTTACTAATATACACATCTTCTACTGATAATTACCTTAATTACGGTTAAATGTTTCAGGTTTCTTCCCGGCAATTTAACTTTCTTTATTGAGGTGAACCTGCCATTTTTATATATAGATGCGAAGTATGTAATAGAAGGAAACATTCTTTTTGCTCCTATAAAGGGAGATGGAGAATTTCGAGCCAATATAAGTGGGTATAATAAGTTTTAGTAGAAGGTATAAATATACAACAAAATAAAAAAGTTCATGTTGGTATAAATGTACAGGGTTTATCTTAAATGTCATTATTTTTGCGCGAGTACCTATCGTGACCTTGCCAAGTCATGTGTCTAGAAAATTATTTAGAATAAGACTTCAATCTTTTTGTTTCATACTGCAAATTAAATCTAACTTTAAAGTACTTTGGAGGATTCTAGTTTAAAAAATAGTAGCTGGTTTTAAGTTCAAATTAAAATTAAATTATGCAGTAATCTCAACTTAAACATAAACTTCACATAAAGAAAACAATAAACCATAGAAAAAATATTTTCAAGTTCAAATTCTATCATAAATGCTTACCTAATTATTGAAAAATAAGATACTTAAACAGTTAAATCTATCAAGCTAAAGATGACGTAATCTTCCCATTCACATGCTTACAACAGAAGTCACTGATTTTCATAATAAAGACATACATAATCTCTAACTACAGCACATTAGACATTAATTCAAAAAAGTATAAAACGCTACCGATTAATACAAAGTGATTTTCAGAACACTGACTTTCGCTCATCTTGAAAATCATGCGAAGTTGTATTGAGGGTTGCTTTTGCTGTACAGCAAAAATAAAACGCTCTCTCAACGGTACAAATAAAGTATCCTTATTGAAAACTGAGCTTATGAGAAAAAGACGTGTTGTCAGTTCGAGCGTTTGCTGGGGAGTCCCTCTTGGTGTCGAGTCGCTCGCAGAAGTCCCTGGTCCTTGGCGCTAATCTGCCGGGGTCGTCTTCCGGGAATCCTGGTGCGTCCGGGCGGCGTCAGGCTGGCGCTCTTGACACAACACTCAAAATGGGTCACTTACGAACATGTGTAGCCACAGCATATTTGTAACAGATATGAAGGAAATGTGGTTTTCGGTATACACTTTGAAAGATGTTCCATCAACAGTTTTTATTGTAATAGCAAAATCGTATATTAAAAAAATTAATAATCTTGTAGGTATATATTTTTTTGCAGAAAGTTTTTAATTAATAATACAGATAACTATCGCTTTTTAAAATATATGTATATATATTTAAGATAGATACACCTTGTGTCAATATGTGTTCTTTTATTTTTGCTTTGAAATCTGTTCCTATTTTATAAGTCTTCATAATATGTCAAGTGGGTATTTGAAGTTTTTCTGAAAAATTTACATTTGTACCCTGGTAATTAGCAACATGGTTAATGATGTCTAAAATAATCAAAGCAATTTGTTACCCCAGTTACTAACATTGTTACCACAATTTGAATTTTATTTAAATAATCATCTTATTGCTTTATCCCAACTCTGAATATTTTTGAATGATTTACCTTATACGGAGCTTTATGAGAGTAATATAATTTTATCTATACGTCTGTTGAATAATTTAGCTTACGTTCCAATGCGTATTGGTTTTCATGATTAGAATGAAGTAATATGTATAACTTCTCAGATATCTGCGTATATTGCAATATATTCCTCAGTTATTTATACAGGGTGTTTCATAATAATGTGCAAATATTTTAAGGAGGTGTTTAGAAAGATATTTTCGATTTGAGCCCCCCCTGAGTAAATATTCAAATCTCAAAATGGCCGAAAAAATTAGCTTTATTTATTTTTTTTATTAAATTTTTAGTTCATGTTTGCTTAGCTTTTCCTATTGATAAAAAAGTATTTTGCAAAAAACATGCCAAAAATGACAATCGTGTTTGGCAACTGTTTTACCAATTATGTGTACCTAATCGGCAAGGAACAATAATTTAGTTTTTTGTTCGTGAACCATTCAGTATACGAAAAAATAAGAAGAATAAAAAAAATTTCTAAATGAAATGTAGTATTAAAAACTATTTTTCTTGGCTGGAATTGGCTAACGTAGAAAAAAGTTGTGAAAGAAATAAAACTAAGGGATGCTAATTTCTTTGATTCAAATACATAAATTAGAAAAAAAGACTATCAAAAAAATACCATTCAACTAATTGTTAACGTGTACCAAAATCAAATTTCTAAGTTTAACCATTTTCGTGAAAAAAAAATAAAAACTAATTTTTTCGGCCATTTTGAGATTTGAATATTTTCTCAGGGAGGGGCTCAAATCAAAAAAATATATTGGAAGTACCCCCCTAAAATTACTTTCTAAACATATCTCCTTAAATATTTGCACATCATTATGAAACACCCTGTATATTCAAGTCGATTCTTATACTAGGACTATATATAAGAAGCATAAACAAAATAGCTGCTATATTATATTTTAAAAATAGCTATCGTTATTTTAAATTATAGTAATATATTGAAGGGAATTTTCTAAAAAATAGCAAATATGGTAGTAGTGTGGAAATTATTCAAAAGATAACGAAACATCCATGCTGGTATGACAAAACCTTGAACGGTTATTGAAATCAGAAGATGACGCCTATGAGAAAATTTCTCTTGACAGTAGTGCGAGTATTTTATGGAATATGAACAATCTCCACTCATTATTGGCCTACTTGTAGTTTTGTTGCTAAAACGGTTTAGATATCATTGTGATAATAAATAACGATTCACTACTTTTTACGTAACTCCGCGATATTTTAAAAATGTCTGAAATATAACATCGTATCATCGAATCGTTCGCATTTAAAGGTTTTAAAAATACAGATAAGAATCAAATTTCCTTGGTGATTCAGTCATAATGTCATTAATTTTAAGGGAAGGTAGGGAAAATGAGTAGAATAGGAATACCCGATAAAAAAAAATTTTTAAAAGCTTATTTATCCTGAAAAAAATATATTTTCAGATTACTATTTATATCCCTTTTCGCTGACCTATAAAGTTTTATCAAGAGCGAATCTTGAACTAAGGTATTATTCGGTCACTTACTAGTTTTTGCTGCGATTTTAATGTGGAGTGAACGACAGGGAATAAACACATCTTTTTATCTATACACATGAATGAATAGGATATTTTTTACATTTTATATTATAATTTATAATTAATATATTTTATTTTTATAAGTATTTTTTATTTGTTAATAAAAACAATTAAGTATCTATATAAGATGATAATTGTTTTCGAATGTTATTACTATTTAGTATTTTTCACATTGTTCACTGTTGTCACTATGTTTTGTAATGGATTATAAGTTTTTAGTATTATGTTCAATGTGTGGTCCGCCGGTCAGAAAATTTGATGCAAAGTAGGGCGTTGAATAAGTAATTTGCTTATCTTTTAAAACGTTGAGTAATTTTTTTTTCATTTTCTGTCTTTATTAGGCCTTGTGAATGCATGGTTAAAATTAATGACATATCGTTCTGTTCGACTCCGTTCAATTAAAACAATAACGGCTTTAATTATATAATGCTTTGTTTTTTATAACCATTAAGCTCTTTGTACGGTTGTAGATTTAAGCTTGTTTGATTTTTAGTAGATTTTTATGTCAATTTAATAATATTACTAGTATTAATATCTTTCAGCGAATTCTAACTGCTCAGTCTACCACGAAGTAATAATAGAAAAGAGGAACGGTACCGATTATTTGAAACCTACCTTGACAGTTCCCACGATGCACATAGGCACTGTAGAGGATTATACTTTCGATGGAATTTTTAGAGACAATGAACAGCTGGGTAAGGATTAAAACTATATAAAATATTCAGTGTCCATTTAGTCAGGAATATAAGAAGGGTAAGCATAGATTTAGTACAGCTTTAAAATTAAAAGGAATATATCTCATTGTAATTCTTTGAAAATATTGAATATAATACAATTAAAAGTAGGTACTTAATTTACATTTAACATAAAGTAGACAATTTTTTTAATAAAAGAATAAAGTTACTAGATGTATTGCCAATTCATTTTACTCAATACTTTCATTTATTTTTTTTCATATCCAACCACCAAATCTTTCATTTAGGTTGCCTTGTAATAATTTTCTCTCAGAATGTTCCCAAACATACTATGTTTTTTTAACAGTCTTTCATGTTGTTATTTTATTTTAATAGAAATTATATTTGATTTTGAAATAAGTATCTCAGATTTCTTCTTCATATCTCAAAAACCACTAAACATAAAGGGTAACTTAATACTCTTAAACAAAACTAAACCGCAATCGTAGGATCTGTTAATAAATTTTATAAAATACGGGGTGTTCCATTAGAAGTAGTGAAAAAAAGTTTATTTGAAGATATCAGCATTTAGAAATATACAGGGTGTCCCGCATAAGAACCGACACAGGGCAGGTGCATGTAAGGGTGTCCAAAATATTGTAATTTAACCAAACTTACCTATATACAAAGTTGCATCCGTGAGGAGATATTAGCCCCCAAAGTGGAGACCTAAATTTCGAAAAAAATTAATATCTCTGCAACACTTTTCCGCTGAAGAACCAAATTTGGTACATGATTTAAGTTTATTACCGGCCTTCTTTGACTAAGATTTACAGTTAATTGAAGCACCACACAAGGTGTTCATTGGGGATGACTCACCCCTAAAATTGTACCGAACTTTCTTTTCATTGACCGAATTGAAAAATAGTAATATTAATTAACAGCAGAATTTAATTAAAATTTTTTTTACTGTTGTTAAATTTTAAAAAACTTTTTTTTGAAATTTAGGGCCCCACTTTGGGGGTTAATAACTCCTCGGAGGTGCAACTTTGTATACAGCGTGTCCCACTAGTGCGGGAAAGTCCAATATCTATGTTAAAATGAGGAATATATGGATTTTTCTTTTTACTGTGTTGTCACATTTCTCGGAATGTACAAATTAAAAATATATTCAACTATACAAGGTATTCCACTTTTCCTGGCCAGACACCAACTTTGGTTTTTTAAATGGAAACACACATTTTTTATATTTTTTTTCGGATTCTCCATCAAAAATAAAGGGTACTTGTGTAGAATAGTTCTATTCAAATATTCACAGTTTTTCAGATAACTCGCTTGAAAGGTTTTTCTAGTCGATATTGGCTGCTTACATTTTCTGATACTGACACGTTATACTAATAGCTACTAAGCCCATTTTTTTATCAGATGTTTAGTAAGGATGACTCTTCCGAATCAGGCTCCAAAAACTGACCTGCGTTATACAGGATGACCAAAATATCATGTCAAAATTGCCTATTGAAAAATTGAAAAATCTCGAATTTTTTAAATGCAACACCCTGTATATTTTCATACCATGAGATGCAGAATTACATTCTCTACAACTTTGCTATACATGCTCCTATACCAAAATTCATTAGTTTTTCATGAAATCTCATTTCCATGAAAAAATAATGAATTTTGGTATAGGAGCAGGTATAGTAAAGTTGTAGAGAATTTAATTCTGCATCTCATGGTATGAAAATATACAGGGTGTTGCATTTAAAAAATTCGAGATTTTTCAATTTTTCAATTGGCAATTTTGACATGATATTTTGGTCACCCTATATAACACAGGCCAGTTTTTGGAGCATGATTCGGAAG